AGCAGTAACAAATCTTTACTGCTTGCAGCAGAGTATGGCAGCCTATCTGTGTGATCTTCCCTTATATTCCATAATCAAAACTCTGGTCCATCGCTGAAGCGAGCGATGCAGTGCTCTTGCTAAAGAAACTCAGCAAAACTACTCTACCTCCTTCCAGCCCAATGTGCTTTTCATATATACTGTATATCAAGAAAGCGAGGTCTACTTTCTGTGGTATGGACCAAAGGAACTTGAAAAAAGGGATGCCGCCGCCTTCCACCTTGGGTGTAGAGCAAAGCGAGAGGACGGCTGGAGAAGCCCCTCAGCTGGCAGAGCAGGACGCCTTTCCTTGGACTGCGCAATGAGCTGTAGCTGCAGTTTCAGTTAGGAGGAACAGGTTGACAAAGGTCGGGGGGAGTGAGGGAGTGTTAAAGGCCACAGATTCATAATGTGTGTCGATCTCGGACTTTCCCGTTGCACGATTTCCTGTTACAACAGAAGTAAGGTTTCAGGTGGATTTGCATTTGAGCATGTTCTTCTATGGTATCAGGCTAATCTTGAGTTAAAAACACACTTTTTCTATGGATCTCACAGATTTCAATCTTGTACCTTTCTTCTGGTGTTAGTTAAGGTACATATCTTGGATGATGATTTAAAAACTAGAAAACGTGTGTGAGCCAGCTAGCCTTTTTGTCAGCCGTTGTGTTTTCCAATTCCGCTTCTATACCACAGCAAATCTGTGCTACAGCGTTATTTCCTAATAATGCCTTTCCGAGGCACAACACAAGCCCCATACAAGAACCACAGAGACCTCTAAACTAAAGTTTTTGGAGCTGGGGGGGGCGGACATGACCACCAAAACAAAAAAGCAGATAGGATAAAGCTTTCTCTGATATCATGGTGCATGTGCATAAACTGAGAGCATGGCTACCTGGAAACTGTTACTTTTTCTAGCAGGCCATAACACACTAATGTTGACAACATTTTGGAATAACTCGTTCTTTATTAGCTACCATTGTAAACACCTCTTTCTATTACACAGACATCACAGTTTACATTATTGCTTTTATATTGTGGTAAACAGAAATTTCTATTAGTATGCAGCTATCTAAGCACAGTGTGGTAAGAAGAAACTGCCCACAAGCTGTCTTGGGCTGGTTTTGTTGGGTCAGGTTGTTTTTTTTCTTACCTAGAGAAAGACACTGTATAGACTGGCACAAGAAACATTAGTCCAAAGATTGATCACCATGGTACTACAGCAACACAAGACAAGTTTGACAGAAACAAACAACAGGTTACATCTTTACCACGCATTCACAAGCAGTATTTTCAAGAATACTGAGTGCTGAACTCCCACCTAACTAAATACAAACATTTTCATCGTGACAATTCTTGAAGCAAGACTAACCAATATTATTTTTTTGGTGACATGTTTGTTATTTAAACTAGGATGGAAAATGAATGCTCGGGGCTTTGTGTCTGTGCTTCATTTTTTTTTTTTTTGTTTCCATTTCTTTCATTTTTCAGAGACTGAAAATCCAAAACTATTTATCATCTGAGGTGCTTAAATTGGCCCCTTTTCCCCTTGTCCTTTAGGACAAAATGCCCTATTCTTTACACGGCTGTATCAAATGACAGAAGCACAACCAGTTTAAAAACACTATCAGTTTCTTTCTTCCTAAGTAGCACTGTCTTCAAATCACTTTCCAATCCAGTTGGTTACTTATGAAGCAATGTCTTTACTTATTGAAAGACTAGATTTTACTTTTGCTTGTGGTAAGCTACTTCAGATTAATTTGTTCATGGAGTGGCACCATGTTTCAAGCAAACACTAAACAACAGAAGTGGAGGTAGTTTGTTAAACGGTTGCTACAGGAACAACAACAAATCTAGAGAACCACCTTGTTGTCTTCAGTTTCAGGGTTTTTTTCTAAAATTACTATTGCATATAAGCTTTCACATAGTGAATGCTTTAAAGAGGCAGCAAGTTAGAAAACTAACAGTACTTGCAAATTCTAATAAGATAATACATATTTTAAGACATGACAGTTAATAAATAATGAGAGAACTTACCAAGGTTTAAGAGCTCTTAGATTAAACCATGAGCAACAAATTCCGATGTTAAACAAACTGATTATATCAGCTTGCAGAAAGGTGCCCTGCCTCCATTTTGAATCTTCAATAACCTTAGGATTGTCACCCTACAACAGTTAGTATAAAATACCACTGACTAGCGAAACATTGTTCTTCCCTAAATACAGTTTTACCTTTTTCCCATGTATTTTCTAGCTACCACCATAACACAATTAGCTTACCACTGGTGCAAAACAAGGACACCCAGTACTAGTCTACATACAGTGAGTGACTCTGAGGCAGAAGGACTGGGCTACTTGATCGTACAAAACTACATGCACATTCTAACCGTTTACTGGGAAGGTGTATTGGAGCCTAACATAAACAGTCACCTTAATTACTACATGCAAACTTACACATTCCCGTATACCTCACTCGTCTGATGATGGGTTGGTTTACTCTTTC